GGACTCCCTCTTGAGATGGTTCGTTGAATTAGACGACGCTATAAGGGCGCGTCGCATCGACGATGGGGAAATGCAAGTTGCATTTGCCCAGTCAAATCTGGCAGGACGTGCCAAGATTTGGGCACTGGGGCTTAAGCTGCACGACCCATATGCGTTTGGGTCGTTGGAAGTCTTCAAGTCGCGGCTCAGACAAACGTTTGAACCGCCTAGAGCTGAGTTCAGGGCTCGAACTGAACTCTTGAAGCTCGAACAAAATAAGCGTGCTGTGCACGCTTACGCGCAACATATACGACATCTCACGAGTTGTATAAGTTCCAATCCGGTTGATGAACACACGTTGGTTTCGGTGTTCATGCAGGGTCTTGCGGATGGTCCCGTCAAGACTCATCTGTTCCGGCTTGAACTAGATTCACTAGAACAAGTCAGTTCCATTGCGGAACAGGAAGACTTCAGTCTGAGACAGGCTCGCGCCAGCTCGACATCATATCGTCAACCGAGACGATATGACAACGGAGGTCCAGAGCCGATGGAACTCTGTTATGTAGAGAGCGAGAAGGCTCGCTCTACAGGCTACAAGAAATTGCAGAGATGCAACAGATGTCAAAAGACAGGACGCTACGCTCACGAGTGTAGTGCCCCTCGTCCAGTGTCTCGCGACACTGGGCGTAGTGACCGTCCACCCATGAGAAAGGGGCAGGAACGCGGGTCCGCTGTTGGTGCAAAGACGCAACAACGGGTAGGACCGTCAAAAAACGGACAGGATAAGTAGGTGCGGAGCACCCTACTGGTGCAGCAACATCAAGAGAATTTGTAGGCCTCTTGATGAAGGTTGCTCCCAACACACAAACGTTGTGCGTTGCTGCTCTAGGTAATGAGATCTCACTCATTACCTTGAAACTCGAAGTGACGAATAAGTTATCCCTTTGAGCTCTAGTCGATTGTGGGGCGTCTAATAATTTTGAGCGACGCCAATCGCTACAAGATGTTCACTTCAAGTTTGTTGAGTGCGACACACCTCCTACGAGGATGACGGTACGTCTTGCGACAGGCGCATCCGTAACCGTCATGAAGCGTATAGTGAAGATTCACTATACGCTAGAAGATCCCCAAATAACGATGACTTTATCGTATTGGATTTGGATGACAAATTTGATGTCATCCTTGGAATACCGTGGCTCAGAAGGTACGAACCACGGGTAAACTGGCAACATCGGACAGTAACGATGCCTGCCGCTTGTTCATCAGATGGCCATCTGATGAACGTTTTGGAGCGTCCACAAGCGTGTGGATGTACTACGAGTGAGTGCGATGGCCTCGCTTGTGGTATGGTCGTTAGTACGACTGCACGAAACCTTAGTGTAACAAACGGTTACACTTCGGAGCAAAGTTCCGGCGGCTGTGAGGAAACACAGGCTGCGCCGAAGGTCCACCACTCGAATAAGTCGAGTGGACCGGGACAAAGATGTATCCCTAGCGAGGAACATCTAGAAGAGAAACAATCAATCAATTAGGTTAAGCGAAACGATAATCCTAGATCGACTGGAGAGTCTTTCGTAGAGGATCTCGCTGTGGTTGCGCAACCACAGCTAGAGGAAGTAAAGGGAATAAGTCCCAAGATTACAAATACGGCGGAAATAAGTTCCCCTAAACCCGCGGGAATAAGTCCCCGGGAAGACGAAGGAATAAGTCCTTCGAAGCCTGAGGGAATAAGTCCCCAGGAAATGACAGAGACATTGAATGTCATAGTCAATAACGGATCAAGTGTAGGCGCTTATACACTTGATCTGATTGCGCCTCCAAAGTTGACTTCGGAGATCACTCAGTTGCCAACGCTCGAACATAAAAGGTTCTTGCGTGATCTGCGTAGTGGCAAAGTCAAGCAGATCTGCGTACTCGTCGCTGACGAAGAGTGTGTAGCCGACATAAGGTCAGCAACAATGTTTACTGAGAACGAGAGAGTTCTCAGTAGTTCATCTATGGACGAGAGTGTCCTAGATGAAAAGACACGAATTGAGCGATATGACTCCCAATCGTGGGAATCGCTCAAGACAAATCCTCTCTATGAAGATTTGGTTGAATTCAAGGATGTATTCCTTGAAACTGTTCCGTGCGAATTACCGAAGGATAAAGGTATTCGACACGAGGTCGAGCTTAAACCAGGTTCGAAGTACTGTGTCATGAAGCAGTGGCCATTGCCTCGTGAACAAGTACTTGCGATCGACAAGTTCTTTGCCGATCGTTTAGCTGCGGGCCATGTGAGGGAATCAACTTCCCCACATAGCTCTCCGACCTTCTGTGTGCGAAAAGCAACAGGAGGGTGGCGGATAGTGCATGCATTCAATAAGTTGAATGCTGCAACGGTACCGGCACAGACGCCGATACCGAGGAAGGACGTAATCATTGATGGTATGTCAAAGAGTACCATCTTTTCGTCCATGGATTTGATGGATGGCTTCTATCAAATCCTTATGCGAGAACGGGATATACCCTATACCGCAGTTAGCACGCCTAGCGGCATGCTCTGGGAGTGGCTAGTAATGCCACAAGGGCTTAGTAATGCCCCTGCCACGTTCAACAGATGTGTATCACATCTGTTGAGACCAGTACGAGAATTCGCGCCGAGTTATTTCGATGACGTATTCATCCATAGTCGAGCTATGGATGGAAAGTCGGACGTTGAGGTTCACAGGTACCACGTCCGACAGGTTCTTACAATCATGCGAAAGCATCAATTTTATGCAAACCTCAAGAAGTGTATATTTGCAGCAAGCGAAATACCACTTCTTGGGTGCATCGTTAGTAAGAACGGTGTACGTCCTGATCCCGAAAAGATCAAGGCGATCACCGACTGGCCTGTGCCAGTCGACGTCAAAGGTCTTCGAAAATTCCATGGGCTAGCGGCTTATTCGCACAAGTATTCACGCAATTACGCCGAGATGACTGTGCACCTCTCTCGTTTGTTGAAAAAGAACGAGAGGTGGTTATGGAACGCTGAATGTCAACGCTCCTTTGAGGGTATCAAGCAGAGCTTGATACAATCCCCAGTCCTAGCAATAGCCGATCAGGACAGGCCATTTCATGTGGTGTGTGATGCCAGCGATTTCGCAATCGGCTGTGCATTAATGCAGTACGACCTTGAAGGCGTTGAACGCGTCGTCTGCTATCAGTCGCGTCAGCTGCAACCAGCTGAGCGGAACTACCCAGTGCATGACAAGGAACTCCTTGACATGAAGTATGCACTCGCGAAGTTCAGAGTCTATCTATTAGGAGATAGACCCTTCGTTGTTTACACTGACCATGCGTCATTACGCACGGCAGTGAACAGCCCGCACCTTTCGCAACGAATGGCGCTGTGGTTGTCATTCTTTGCAGAATACAACTTTACGGTCGAGTACAAACCAGGACGGCTTAATGTCGTCGCTGATGCACGCTCACGTCGTCCCGACTTTGAACCAGTCGTGAAACCCAACAGTGAGGCAGTCACTGTTGCGGTTATGACGTCCTCAGTCCCATCTACAACGTTGTATGATGATGTGAGGCGGGCATACGCCCAGGATGGTGAGATTGTGGAGCTGTTGACACATCTCTCACAGCCATCTCGAGAATCGTTGAAACGATTGTCGTCTGCGTATCGATCTGCATCAGATCGATACACTACTCGCAACGATTTAATGTATTATACAGCCGTTACTGGTGACACACCACGTGTTGTCATTCCAGATGATAATGATCTGCTTTTGCGGATCATGTTCGAGTATCACGATGCTCCTACAGGAGGACATCGTGGCCGTGAGAAAACATATCTCACGGTGAGTCGAGACTTTTACTGGTCCCGCCGGTATCAGTTTGTGCGCAAGTACATTCGCGCATGCGAAGTCTGTCAACGAGTGAAGTCAAGTCCTTCACTGCGTGCACCTTTACAGCCTCTACCGGTTCCTGCTGAGTGCTGGGAATCCATCTCAATGGATTTTGTCTTCGGGTTACCCAAAGACGCACGCGGGAATACGGGTATTCTCGTATTTGTTGACAGATTCAGCAAAATGGTACACCTTGTGGCTGTACCAGAGTCAATCACGGCAAGTGGCTGTGCTTGTGTCTTTATTGACACCATCTTCCGACTTCATGGGTTGCCCCGTGAACTCGTATCAGACAGAGATCCACGATTCACTGCTGATTTCTGGCGTTCCGTGTTCAAATCACTCGGAACGCGCTTGAAGATGTCAACATCTGATCATCCAGAGTCAGATGGTCAGACGGAACGTGCCAATCGTGTCCTTGAAGAGATACTTCGAGGATACGTACACTCCTTTAAGAGTTGGAGTGAGTTTTTGCCGATGGTAGAGTTTGCCATCAACAACTCGGTGCATGCGTCCACGACACATACACCGTTTTACGTGAATGGCTTGCGCCATCCGCGTGTACCCACCTTACTAGAGTGTAACTCTGGTTTAAGGGGGGAGGGACTCGCGCGAGCAAAAACCGATTTGGTTCACGCTCATCACGCTCTGACGAAGAAGTCATTGCGTTTGATGCCGATATCGATAACATCGATATCGAAGAAGATGATGCCAGTGAGAGTGCGGAAGCCCTCACTGAAGACAATGATCCCAGTGAGAGTGCGGAAGCCCTCACTGAAGAAAAGGTTGTTGTCGCTGCAGTGCGCTCACAGCACACTGAAGCTAACGAGTCATCAGATGAGTTCATACTGGCTCGTGAAACGGTAGTCCGTTTTGTGCAAGACTCCATCGCCGAAGCGGTGGATAAGCAAAAGCAAAACGCTGACAAGAATGGAAGGGCAAACACTCTTTTATTTAATAAAGGTGACTTAGTCCTACTGTCTACGGTTAATCTACCAAAACATGTAGTGACTAACTTGGGTAGCAGTAAACTACTACCCAAGTACATTGGCCCATTTCGTGTATTGCACCGCCTAGGCAATGCATACACGATCGAGTTACCACGTAAGATGCGAACGCATCCCACGTTTTACGTTGGTCGGCTTAAGCCTTACCATCAGTACGCTGATTCTTCCGATGAAGAACGCCCTTGCGCTCAAGCATCTCGCAGAGAGCCTTGTGCTCCTGATGGTGGGCATCAACAAGGGTCTGAAGAGCAGTTATCTCAGCCCGAGACCGATCAACAATCCCACGAGCTACCCTTAGCTCGTCACGAAGAGATGTCAGAGATCTCTCGTTCTCAATCTGAGCAAAGGCAAACTCAGCTCGATGCTTCGAGGCAGTGTCCACCATCTGGAGACGCCTATTCCGCTCATGCTCGAGATCGTCGCGTAACCCTTGCGTTACGCGATCAAAGAAGCTCTAGGGAACACACCGATCCACATGATCGTGTGGAGAGCGTCTTTCCTCCTCCTCCACCTCCATTAGAGGACTCTCGCGGTGGCCAGCGCTATCTAGATGAGCAGCTGTTGAACCACCGCGACGTGAACGGACGTCGGACGAGTTACCTCTCATCCGGTGGCGCGGCTATCCCCCGTCCTGGGATTCTTGGGAGCCCCGCTCCCAATTGATGGTTGACGTACCGGGTCTGGTCGAGCAGTACGACGCGGACACATCCTGTGCCGCAGAAGGACCGCCGGAGAAAGTCTTCCCGGCACGGTCGTAAAGGGATTTCAGGTTGTCAATCCCTTCGTACATCTCAGTAGAGACACGTACGCGCCACCACGGGCTGGTAAGGAGGTAAGCCTCCTTAGGTGCTCGTGCAGAGTTGTTCACACAACATGGGCACGAGTCTCCCCAAGAGAGGCAGGGTAATCCTTTCTCCCTTGACAGACGATGCAGCTTATAGCGTGCACCTGTCGGGGTTCGCTTTTCAAACTTATCACGAGCTTTGATAAGTTTGTCGTTCCAAGCGTCACGACCTACATCCTCGCGATTATGGATGTAGGCGTTCCACGCCTGAAGTAGTGAGGGACCATCACGTTTGTGATTCCCACTGTACCATCGATGTCTGAAGAAAGCATCGATGAAGAACTCATGTTCAGCGCGATAGTCTTTCGCGCTGGGGTCAAGGTGATGAATCCTCGACGAATCGAACAATCGTGTTCGATAACGATCACTCGTCGTCGCCGACAAGTGATCCATGACGGATTTAGGAGGCATCCATGCCTTCTTCTCAGGAGCGAGACGCAACACATTGCGGTCCCGCTCTTCCTGCGACGTGCCGACAGAAGTACTGGCACCTCGCTGTGAAGTGGTGTCCATTGGAGAAACGACACCACTATTAGCGCCCGAGTCTCGCGACCTCGAGCGCCTTCGCTTCGGCGATGGTTCATCTGATGAGTCAGATGAACCAAAGATGCTAAGACGCAAAGCATCGTCCATGCCACGCTTGGCAGGCGGCTTGGATTCAATCGCCGTCGATACGGATCCGTCATCCGTATCAGGAGAGTACGAGACACCGAGCTCATACTCTGTGAAGACACGAGTGTCTTCATGACCAGCGCCTGCGTCACCAAGTGACACAGGCTGAGTCGATTCAGCAACCGATGGGACATCAGTTGCTGTGGTTTCTGCTTCGGCGTCCGCACAGAGACGTGCAGACGCGCTCTCGGCGGCCTTGCTCGCGCATCGCATGGGCTTGTTTACCATGCGATGAGATGTTGGAAAGTGGACGCGGACCAACAAGTGCAAACCCCGTCCCAAATGATTTGGGACGAGTATCCATTTAGTCAATCAGTCACTAAAGTGACTGATGGTTAAGGGGGTGATGTAACGGGGTGAATCGTTACATAACAATTTATAAGAAATTGTTAATAGAATATAACTATAAGAGTTATATTCTCAGAATATTGTCATAAGGACAAATATTCTGTAGCACTTACAAGTAGTTCCTAATTGGTTGATATAGGCCATTATATCAACCAACGAAGACGCGCCACGACAGACGCACGCAATGAGTGGTGAGCAGATAACTGATTTACACATTTGTATTTAGACATAGTTAGATGAAGATAAATAGTGATTTATTGCAGACATTAACTATTATAAATACAGTTCTACTTTTTACTCTAACCGAGTACTCGCTTCTTCTTACCGTCTTCCTCTGCACGTACGAGTGTACGTGAAGTTACGAGGTACCGCCTTATTCTGTCATCAGAATAAGTAGCTTGTACTGTCACCAGTACAAGCTTCAGGGTGCCCCGTTACAGCAAGGTCTCTCGTTCTTTTCTGACAAAGACTTTACCAAATGCCCTCTGCTTGCAATGTCACTCGCCCTCGTGACATATTCATCGCTGACTATATCCGTCCTAAATCAACTTCCTGAGAATTTGGCTATTTCACAGTCCACGTTAAAATATAGCAACTCCGCTCATCGATTTGTTCTATTCACTGGATATATTGTCCACCTTTACTAAGAAGGAGAACAGCATAGATACCGCTCCTAGTGTGCACATATACGTTAACCTTGTTCCTGATCGGCTTGCTGCAAAATCCGGCGTATCCGAACACTTTGCATCTCACTCTTTTCGGCGCAAAGTGGCGCAGCATGCAAATGGTCTGATTTGTGTGTACAGTGAGTCTTCGACCGAGGCGCCTGGAATATGACAGCGACGAATGAGGCCTTTGCGTACGTCATTAACACAGCTTCCGAAGACCACAGGATTGCTCGGGTCTTGATTGGGCGACTCTCCGATGCCAACGTCTCTCTCCTATCACTTGATGTAATCTACTCCTGTACGCTGACAAAGGTACAAGCTGTTGCGAAAGTGCTCTTCAATGCGTCTCAAGGGATCACGACTTTAATGTACAACGTGAACGAAAGAGTGATCGAAACGCTTATCACGTACCTGCTTCTTCATCATCCATTGTAACAGCAGCTCAAGAAAGACCGACTTGTTTCATACGTTTAGAAGCGTGCGTCATCCAGAAAGGTCACTCCGTCACCAATCTTCTGGCTTGGTCTTTATATCTAACCTGTTACGTGAAGACAAGTATGCATCTAAATCCCATCAAGTCTCAATACAGCACGATCGACATCAAAAAGTATCCAATATTTCTCTATCTAGCTTTATTAATAGAACAGTAACCAAGTTCAACCAAAAGCTCGAACCTTGCGTCTCCATGATATAAAGCTGAGATCTTTAAAATAGCTTATTCACAAATTACATTAGAAAGAAGGGAGGATCAAAGCAAAGAACCACCAGCAAAACTTCACCGATCGAGTTCGTCAACAAACCTGATGGACGACTATTTCTACTGGTATGCTCAGGGACCCCGCTTCTGGAATTCGTTTGATATCTCGAGCAAGCACACGAAATCCACCGCCAAATTTGTCGCTGCATTCATAAAGCTGTTTTTACTGATGGATTCACGAAAAGTCTCCGTCGTATCGAGACGATGTGTTGATGTTTGGTAAAGTCGCCGTAATGCGTTTACTTTCGTTTCTTAGAGAGCACAGCACTAAAGCCCGCGGAACACAAACGTCCTCAAGTCCATGCGCGAGCTGCACAAAGATGGTCATCAAAATAAACACATCCACCAATGCAGACAACTTCAAGCCGCCGGGAGCGTTGTAGATCCAGCACCTGCGCATACTACAAACATCATTCGATCAATAAGTACCTCGTAGTAACCATAGATGTTGGTCTCTATGCCATTTTATACCGACTGAGTGATACCGCACGAAGGAATGAGGACTACAATGATACATATAATTAAGACCGGCGTGGCACGTTCGCTCGTTCGGACTCTCATAATTTAGCGTCTATACAGAACAGTACAATAATCCATATCACCCTCATTCTCCGGTGTCAGCTCGTTTTAATGTTCTCGGGACGCGACCGAATCGTATCACACGTCGGCGTGTAGCTTTCGTGCTAGAAAGTCGAGCTTCTTGTCGTCTTGTACACTTTCTTCCGGTGCTCATACATGTACGGATTGAATTCGCAAACCAAAACAGCACTTGGGCGGCACGTAGTCCAACACCTAGCTGCTTGCAAACATGTCATTGAATACAACATAACGATCGATTCGCAGTCGAGTACGTGCGTAAAAATATACATGGATTAGGGTGCACGTACGTATACATTGGAGCATCATTAAGTATAGCTTGTCCACAGTCCATACGTCGTAGTTGTTCAACACGTTGGAACTACTCCACGATGAAGTAAATCAGACCAGCAAGTAACATTCTGATTCCGAGCACTTACACACACGTAAACGATTAAATTTGCCTCAATCGATCATATTTAAGCTCCCCTGTCCACTTACAATAATTATCACAAAATTGCACAAAAATATCACATCATTGCACAATTTTGTGCTGGCTTTGTCCCGATCGGAGCCTGTCGGAGGTCGGATATGTCATGGTATGTTATCCTATTTAGACATTATGGCCCACACATTGTTGATGGGATTTCAGTTTGGAGAACAACCTGGCCAGTTTGGAACGTCCACGCCTTGCTCAGCGAAGAAGTCCAGCGTGAGCAAAGATGTATGGATGGACAAATGATTCACCTGAAGCCTAAACATTGGGTGCCATGTTTGCGGTGTGCAAATGGAAGCAAATAACCTGGTATGGTGTAGGTATAGCTCTCGATATTCGGCTTCAACCAGAGTTTCTAGAAATGTCTTTTCGACTCCGCTAAACCCATCCCAAACCATAACGGACACTCAGCCATTCTTCTGCAAAATGGATACACGCATGTCTTGCCACCAGTGCTGTAGGCCATCAGGTCCATCTAGGTTCGATTTTTGTCAAGAGCAATTATGCTCATCCATGCATCGGGAAGTACTAACATCTGATCCTACCAAGCAATGCGCACACACGATGTGGTTCGCCTTCTGGTGTAGGACATCTAGTCGCTACATTGGAGAACGCAGCGAGCTGCTGATGTAACGGGGTGAATCGTTACATAACAATTTATAAGAAATTGTTAATAGAATATAACTATAAGAGTTATATTCTCAGAATATTATCATAAGGACAAATATTCTGTAGCACTTCCAAGTAGTTCCTAATTGGTTGATATAGGCCATTATATCAACCAACGAAGACGCTCCACGACAGACGCACGCAATGAGTGGTGAGCAGATAACTGATTTACACATTTGTATTTAGACATAGTTAGATGAAGATAAATAGTGATTTATTGCAGACATTAACTATTATAAATACAGTTCTACTTTTTACTCTAACCAAGTACTCGCTTCTTCTTACCGTCTTCCTCTACACGTACGAGTGTACGTGAAGTTACGAGGCACCGCCTTATTCTGTTATCAGAATAAGTAGCTTGTACTGTCACCAGTACAAGCTTCAGGGTGCCCCGTTACACCTGGTAGCACTTCGTAGTCCGTCCAAGGACCGCGTTCACATCCAACATGAATATGTTGGATGATGATGATGACCAAAGCTTTCACGCTACGCGTGACGGCTACTCCCATTTGAGCGATGTCGAATGGGATGCGGTTGAACGAATGGGTTCGACCATGGGCATCCATGCTGTTAGCGT